CAACTCAGTTTTGAGACTGCCCGCAACGAACTTGCGGCTACATATATATTCGAGATCCGATTTTTGAACTCTTCAAGGCCACTAAGCTGGTAAAAACTAGGATCAATCTTACTGACCAGTTCTCGGTGAACGGAGTTCTTAAGAGTTAAAATGTGTAATGGAAGTGTGTCGGGTTTGTCTGGTAGGATTAACGTGTGGCGGCAGCATGATGGTCTGGGAGCACAGCCTCCATTTAAATGCAGTGCATTATTAAGCAGCTATAGGAGCATATTCACATATTTAAGTCATTCGATCCGAATCGTGATCTTTGGCCCCATATTAAAAGATGGTCGTCAAGATGTAAAACGGTCATGCAACATACCTTTGTAACCAGAGAGCCGTTTGAACTTCCTTTTTTAAAGCTGACATTTTATGATTGCCCATTCATTGAATAATTCAGCAGTTATTCAGATATGACTTCATATGTTATGGATTTTTGCAGCTATTCAAGTACCACTTGATATGAGGAAGAAATCTATTTATGGTAGAGTAAATACCACTTTCGAACAGTTAAAAGTATTAAATTCATAAATACTTAAGTCAGCTTTGGAATATCTTACCACGCAGTTGAAATAATATTTCACATGCTTTAAACTACATGATAAGTCACTGAGGTCATGTGTAAACTTAATGTGATCTCAGTTTAAATACAGGGCATTATTCAGCACCTATAGGCATATGGAAAAATGAGGTCAAGCAAACCAAATCGTGGCCATTTGGCCGCCATAGTTGAAAATGACTGCTAAGTTACACAACGGTTATTTAAGCATATCTTGTTAAGGGCCGGTTTCATAATCAAAATTAATTCTCCAGTTAAATTTAATCGAGATTTTAACGATTGAATGGATTTCATAATCTCTAATCAGCCAGTTAAATTTTCTAATTGGCCGTTAAGTTAACTGCTCGATTTCGGCCTGTTAAGCGGTTAATTGGGGAATTAAATGTTTAACATAACCTTTCTTTCTTTGTTGTGTCATTGGGACGTTTGGACGGTATTTGTTGAACTGCAGATTGAAGCCATATTTTTATACAAACCGACATTCCTTTGAACAATATGGTAAGTATTTACAGTACAAAAAAATCCTTGGAAATATTTATTTCATGTATACTTTATCTGACGTCACTTGAAACACTGTGAAATACCGGGTGCGTTTTATATATCTATATTTAACACGCTCTGTTGCTGCAAAAATCGCCAAATTTCGCAGCAAATATCCCCCGTATAAGATCAAAGGCAGTTTCACCGGTCCACGTGGAGTAAAGCACGCCTATGCGTGGACATAGCCAATGAGAAAGCGTGTATTTCAGAGCTCTGAACAAGTGCAGGTGGCTACTGAAAATTGAAACAGTTTAGCCAGTGCCGTGTAGCGGTGAATAAACGTGTTTTCTTTAGTCTGTCCGTGTTTTTTCATAGATTTTATTAGTTTGTGTGTTTTTGACTTTTGAATACTCCAGTTTACTTGTTGATTTAATTGTTGTGTTGATTGTTCTTGTGTGTCCTAAATATGGCTCTTTGGAGACCTTGGGAAAATCAAATTTTAAACAGAATTTGTATCCTGACAAAAATCAGTCGGTCTACCATTTATCGGGTTATAAAAAGGGGAGATGTAGTCAACCATTCCTTCCACAGAAAGCGCATAGGGCAAAAATTAAAAAGAATAGACGTGGGTTTTCAGGAAGATATTCGTCGTATAATATACGGATTTTATAAAGAAAATTTGGTGCCCACGTTGGAAATGATACGGGATAAATTAAAGATTATCCTGAAGATTTTTATAATTACAAATGCTTAGACTCACTGCACTGTATTGTAAAACTGTGTGGTTTTCAATACAAAAAATTAGATAAAAGAATGGTGATTATGGAGTCGTCTCGAATCGTTGAATTGCGCCAAGAATTTTTTGCACAAAGTTAAAATCTATAGAGTGCAGAACAGAAATCTGATTACCTGGATGAAACGTGGTATGATACCCATGATGTTGTGCAGTACGGCTGGGTTGACGACAGCAACAAGTGCATTTTAAATGCACCATGCAACCGTGGCAAACGAATCATTATTCTCCATGCTGGCAGTGAAATGATTTATACCTAATGTCTTGCTGTTATCTGCCAAAAATATCAAAGAATCATGTGCCGACTATCATGAGGACATGACTCCGACTTATTTGAAAAGTGGATAGAGCAGCAGTTAATACCAAACATTTCCCCAAATTCAGTGATTATTATGGACAATGCGCCATACCATTCCCGACAGAAAAACAAAATTCCGAATACAGGCACAAAAAAACAAGACATTATTGATTTTATGAAGGATAAGGGAATGGAAATACCACAAAATCAACCAAAGCATATTATGGATCTTATTAAAAGACAAAAATTTGAAAAAGAGTATGTTGTTGACAATCTGCTTCAGCAAAATGGCCATGAAGTATTACGTCTACCTCCCTAGTACTGCATTTTTAACCCGATTGAGTTGGTCTGGGCTGCTTTAAAAAAAAGTAAGAAACATAATCAGACCCCTCAATTAAGTGAATCGCTATTGGCCACAGTAAGAGATGCAGTATCTCATATTGCTGCCACAGACCTATGGAAGCAGTGTTCTAGGCATATTATTGACAAAGAAAATGAATATTGTGTTTTGCCTCCGTAAATCCCGTTGTAATTCCTCTACAAGATGACTCTAGCGACAGCTCCGAAGGCGAGATGATATATAAATACCTATAATGTAAGTCTTTATATACCACCTACCTGCTATGTATATATGTCAAACGTTAGAATTCTGTAATTTTTTCCATTTTCTAACTTTCATCAACATAAATTAACTCCCAATATAAGTATTTTTATCCCAAATCAAAAAATAAGAAGATAGTAAAATCCATTTATTGTGATATAAAAACATTATTATTATCGTTCTAAATAAATACCGCACGCCTATG